CCTAAACCTAAACCCTGAAGTTTGGGGATTTTCGGCCACGGGCCTTGGGTTGCGGCTTTCTGGTAGCAGCCCATCGAGGCAGCAGCCGAAATAACCACGGCCTAAAGACTTGATCCCCAAAGACCAAGCCCCTAATCCGCTAGAGTTTAGGGTTTAGGGTTTAGGGTTAGGATTAGGGTTTAGGGTCCTAAAGACTTGATCCCCAAAGACCAAGCCCGAGAAGACTCCACAAGCACACTGGAAGAAGGGAGCTCCCCAACTCACCATTCCCAAGCCAACATGAGGTCTCGCCGTGCAAAGGCTTTGTGTTGGAGAAGCCCTGGACAAACCCTCAGATCAATCCAAAAAGCCCCTTTCTTTTGGACAAAGAGCCCTCAACCATAAATTCCTCAAGCCCAAGAGGCTGCACGGAAAGCGCCGATCAACAACAGAGCCGTGAAGCCAAGCCCAAACCCTCGCGCGGTTGGGTTGGAGGTTTGTTGTGGTTTAGAGTTTAGGGTTTAGGCTTAGGGGTCGTCTCGAGAGCCTTAAAGCACCCCGGAGCCTTTGTGCCAGGCCTGGGTCATCTTCCGGTCGACATCCCCATCGAGGACTCCGACGACTGCGACGACGACTGTTACTGCTACCACTGCTGATGCTGCTACTGTCGCGTAATCAGACGGAGCACGTAATTCATGACAATGAACATCATCACTGTCTTCATCGTATGGTAAGGCAACAATATCAATATATATATATATATGTATAACTATATGTATGTATATACATATTACATACACATATATACACATACACATACAACAGCAAGAACATAATAGTTTTAGTAAGAGAAACATGTATAGCAGCTAATGGTTAAGATTGTTATGATTATGACTGTGGTTATGGTTGGTATGACTATTCTTGTGTGATTATTGCGGATATTGTCAATCGCACTTGCTATAGTTATTTGTGTTGGTAGTCATCATCATCATCATCATCATCATCATCATCATCATCATCGTCATCATCACTGCTTCTGCTTCTTCGAGCTGCAACTGTTTTCCGGTCTGTCTGCGGGCTGCTTTTTTTCCACAGCTCTTTCTCTGTTGCGATTCCTGCTTCCAGTTCTTGATATTCTTCTTGTTTTGTTAGTGTTCTTCCTGTTGTTTGAGAGGGTCGCAGTTGTGTAGAGTTGCAGTTGCTGGCATTCTTTTCCATCATCTTGCCGTTAGTTGCTGTACCAACTTCAGTCACACTGCTCCCAATCTCAGCCCCGAGCCTTAGACTGAGCCCTAAACCCTCCAACGTAGAATGCGCCGAGCTAACAAGAACTCATAGCTACGTAGCTGAACTCCAAACCCTGAGCCCTAACCCTTAAGTTACCGTAATCAGGAAGTCATATCACTTCCTACGGATCCCTGCTATGGTAGCTAGAATCAAATTCCTTAGCCTTAGCAAAAACCCAGTAAACTGTTCCCTAAACCCTAAACCCTAAACTGTTCCAGGACCTGGTGACCAAAGAGTTCCGGCTGTGCATGCAAGCCGCCCCGGAAGAGGCCAGGCTCTGGGGGCTGGGGGCTTAGGGTCTAGCACTTGGGGCCTAGGCCTTCGGGGTTTAGGGCTTAGGGCTTTGGGGTTCAGGGATTTTAGGGTTTAGAGGGTTTAGTGTTTAGTGTTTAGGGTTCAACATAGAAGCCGAAATGATTTTCAATAGTATTTCTTAGGGTTCCTTGCTATGATTATACAGGAACCCCAAATCCTAGTCGTAGGGTTCAGGCATTTCGGGGTTGCGAGCGTCGGGTTTGGGGTTGGCAGCCTAGGGGTTAGGATAGGGGGTTTGGGGCTTGGTCGTTGGTTTCAGGGCGGACTGTCGTCAGTCAGTGTCAGCCATCTGGATTCTGCCTGTTCGAAGCATAAGAACTAGGCTCCCGCCTACAGTGTACTGGTCGCAAGCCTTTCAGTTGAACTTGTCGATGACAGAGTTGGAAATTAGGCATTCCGGCTTTAGGATTGGAGTTTTAGATCCTAAACCCAAAACCCTAAACCCTAAACCGTGCTAAACCCTAATCCGCGAAGACCCCGAGCCGCCTGGGCATCACGAACGTGTTTTGAGCGTGCATGTGCTTGAGATAGCAGAACGTAGTCCTCATCGTAGAAGTGAATAGTAGAACGCTGGGTTTAGGGTTTAGGGATGTTTAGGGTCTAGACCCTATTCAAATCATTAAGGGCTCTATTATGAGTACCCCCCCCCATTATGCAGCCTGAAGGGGCCTCCTTTACTCCACTTGGTTCCGCACCGTTGTTGGAGGATCCCTAAACCCTAAACCGTAGAAGCCCTTGAACCCTAAAACTCTAAAGCCCT